AGCTCCCTGAGCAGCGCAGTTTGGTTACAGCTCCGCTGGGCCAAGTGGCAGCTCCTACCACAACACACATTTCTACATTCTCGTTTCCTTTTGAAGTTTTCTACTCATGTGCTTCGTGTCCTTATCTTCTCTTTCTAGACATTTTTGACAGCAACCTTGAGAAGAGGATTACTCTGCAGGACCGAGAGGGCAGCAGACACCTGTCTTGCTCGCCAAAGAGCACACCAGTCCTGCATCATCGGGTCACAGAGAAGCATTACAGGACTTGTATTTCACTCTAGTCATAGTGACAAGAAACTTCCCCCCCTCCCTGAAAACATAGATTATATTCTCAAATGATTTTGCTAGATTAAACCATCATGTTCTTCATGTATCTTATATGAGATACCAAACGTGGAACTACTAACATGGGGTAGTTCCACCTTGGTCTCAGCACTCATAGCTACTCAGCTTTCAGTGTATTTTTCTTCTCTATTGGTTTGGGTTGGTTTTTTTTCGCTAAATCAGTTTTTAGTTCTATCACAGGGCTGATCTGATCCACCACAGAGCCACAGAATCAGTAATGTGGACTAAATAATAAAACAACAAAAAAAATCAGTAATAACAAATGGAGGAGGGGAGGGGTGCGTGCAGAGCCTTCCCCCACCCCCACCCCCCCTCAGCAAAACCCCGCAGTTGGGTTGTGCCAGGCAAACTGTGCAACCACCCATTTAGTTGGTAATCCAGGGATCAGGGAGGTCAGGGGGAATCTTTTCATTCACTTCAGCAGGCTTTGGAACAGAGCCTGGCGCCCGCATTTATGCTGTCAAAGGGACTACTTATCAGATGGTTTATTAGTCTATTTTTCCCAGGAAGCCTGAAATAACAAATTCTGCCTAGAAACCTGGAACACAAAGGAAGCTTCAGGTCAGTAATTCATGCCTCACCAAGAGATAATATGTTATTTTAAATGCGATATATAGTAAACATCTGGCTTTAGACAAGCAGGTAAATCAAGATAGTGCAAGACTGCAGATTAGGTCACAGTATTTCGGCGCATGTTCATTAACTTTCTAATCAAGTTCGCTAATGAAAGCAGTTACTAGATCATTTGCTCTTTTAAACATGTGTTCAACCCATTTGTCTAGCAGCAGCCACCTCCTCCTTCCCCAGCGCTTACCACCCCTTTCAGCTAAACGCATTGACATTCCCATTTAAAAAAAAAAAAAAAAAAAAAAATTGTTTTACCAGAACATCTTGTGCAAAACGTCTTCCACAGGTTGTACAAGGAGCCAGATCTTGCCGTCCAGCAGCTGTGTATAATTCAAACCACGCAAGAGTTACAAGTTACACAGTAGAGGACAGCTTAACTGCAGCAGAGCCAGCGTTTGGGCTGAGCCCTTGTTGAAACTGTATTTCGTTGTCAGAAGGGGACACTTGCAGCCATGTGCCAGGGCTGCCTTTTGCAGAACTATCTTATTTATCTTGTCCCTACAAAGCACAAGCTCTCCTTTACTACTATGGACCGCTTTTTGTTTTCCACATGACTGCTCAGCTATGCCCTTTCACAATGGCATCATGGTTGGGCCAGGAGATGATGGAGGAGTACTCTCAAGTTCATCGTCGCCTAAATTCTAGGAGGTGGGCTGGAAAGCAAGAGCAGGCGATCTGCACCCAGATTTATTCCATTTCATTTGTAAGTCATCAGGAGGCAGCGATACCCATGCTCAGCATAAGCCACTGCTATTCCAGAAAGCGGCAGGTGGCACTCTCAAGCGTGACACAATCTTCCTTCTTAAGACAGAACATTTCCATGATGCGCTTAAACAGCATTCCAAGATGATCTTACTTGGACGATAAATTCACGGGGATTTTTTTGTTTTTAAATTAGTAATTTTCTTTTTAAAAAAATAGGCTTTTAAGTTACATGGAAAGTAGTTTTAAGCCTTTCTGACTCCAATGGCAGTCACATATTCTCATTTTAGAGCAGGGACGTTACTTGTATTAGGAAAACTTGAACAATAACAAAGAGCCTTTTTCATAAGACTTGTAACCTACAGAGGGAAAGACTTCTGAGTGTTCCTTACCTGCTCTTGCTGAAACAAAAGAAATCTTTGTCTTGCTGAGCAGTAGCAGATGTGCGACTGCTTTTGTTTCTACCTTTTCCTTCAGATTATACCATACTCCAAGGCACACAGTTAAGGTTATTGCAGTGTTCCACTGGTTACAAGTGTAGAGGAATAAAGCAATTTATAACCTTTTTAACTATTATTCTGTTGCCTCTGTTTAAATGTCTTCGCACTTTGGCTCCCACACAACATCTTTCTGTGTGTCTGTGCTTAGTCTGGACTACACTCTTCCTTTCAAGCATCTTCCTCCGCCTCCCACATCTTTCATTCTGCTCTCATCCCCTCAAGGTTTTGACTGATACAGCTTTTTAAATTTTTTTTAAATTAAATTTAGGTACAAGCTCAGTATCATTGAATCAGCAATGAGAAGTCAGAAAAAAGGACAATTTGCCCCAGAGGATTAGTTACTTTAGACATGTACAACAGCAGCTGAGTTAGGGACTAGTAAAGAACATGTGCAATGTCTTTAGTAAAAGATTTTCCTTTCCAGTAAATCCCAAAATCACATTCCATCCAAACCACTGAACAGCTTCTGTTACCCACTTGTTCCAGTTAACTCCTTTCCTGGTATCTGACTCATCTCAATAGAACCGTTTCTCAAATCTCCTCTTCTGCGTTGCTCTCAGGACTCCCGAGTACTAGGTGATCAGTCTTCACTACTCAAAAGCTCACAATTCAAGTTACCATGCATCAGCAATTACATAATAAACAATTATGACACAGGCAGACCATGCTTAAGCCTGCGAAACACATGAAAACTAGTACAGAAACCAGCTAAATGAAAACTCTGGAACTTGTTCTAAGCTTAGAGATGATTTTTACTGTTCTAGTTAACACAGACTCTTAGACAATTTTAGAAAATGAAGTCTTAATCTAGATAGGAAAACTGTACTGACACTTCAGTTTTCTAAGCAGTGATTAAGAGACTTGAAGCTTCAATGCCTCTTTATTTCCTTCTCAAAAACCATGTTACTTTATCAATTAAAATATATTACAAAAGCCTTCTTCCAATAAAAACAATTACTTTTAATTTTTTCTGTATATTAAAAGGCCTCATCAGTCCTTCTGTTAGCTTGTCTCCACCTAGTATTCACAAAACTATTTAAGGAACATTTAAGATGCTTTGAATTTGGTAGCAGTCGCACCACTCTACTGATACATTGGTTCCTTACCAGTAAAATGGTTACCTTTTCACCCAAAGGCAGAAGGTTGCTCAGTCTATAGTCCTGAAGACCTAAAGCTGAGGGCTTCTTATGAATACAGGAGGATTCAGAAGGACTGACTACAAATCCTATTCATTTCCTTCACACATATGGACTGGTCACTATCAGAATAATTCACATGCACAGTACAGAAATTAAAGATCACACCAAGCCTGCTCATCTTCAGAAAGTCTTTGCAACAATTGTGGTGGGTCATAAGTTAGTATTTCAATGAAACCAAACTGAACGCAAGACCTGAAGAATACTATTTCAGGAAAATCAAGACAATGGCTACCTGCAACATACAGTATTTTTCTAAGCATCTGCTGTTTTGCTTGGCATTCTACTCAGACTGAGTACTTTCAGCAAAGCCGATTTCAACAGCACCAGTAAGGGTCATTGACTACTGCAGCTGCAACACTTGTTGCGACAGGTTTTATTTGCTAAGAAATTTAAAACTCAGGTTAGGTAACAGGGATGTCTACCTACACATCAGCTTTTCAGACACCTCTGTTTACAAAAGGTTATTTTACATCTTTTATGGTAGTACCCAAACAATAAATAACCAACCCAGAAAAGAAAAAAAAAAAAAAGAGGAGTGGGTGAAAACTCCTTGACTTACAAAACTGGGCTACATCAAGGCACTATATTTAACCATCAGTGTAAGGGAGAGAAGACATAAATGGATATATTGCTTTGTAAACTGAAATAATTTAATAGAAGAATCTAATAAGATCAAATCTGTAGGATTCTGCTGATTTGTTGAATACATTTAACAAATATATATATAAAAAACTTGTCCAGTGATAGCTTGTACAAAAAATATTTTTTGTAATTTCAATACATTTCTACTGTAAGGAAACTTTGCAACGGTTGCCATGTCACTCATGACAGAATAGACATAACTAATACATTGTTTTATCTGTAATTTCATTTCAGAAAGAATGACAAGTTACTGGGTCTTGTTACAGTAATATCTGAATAAGCCCCTCTGTGCATGACTGGCAAAGCTATGAGTTAGCAGTTCCCTTCTCAATACAAATGAAAACTTAAAAGATGTTTCCACAATAAGTTCCTCAGTTTCATCAAGACAGCTTCAGTCCTTGAACATTTTGTTTCAGATTGAGCAACTCTTTTTCTTGCCTTGTTTTCTCCAATTTGAAGGACAGTTTATTGGCTTTCTTCTCCATTCTGCGTTCCTGTGCATATGAATAATGACAAATTTACAAAATCGGCAGAACATGCAAAAAGAAACCATTCTAATTAACAGTTCTAGATCATGAAAACAGCAGTAATCTGGACAATATTATTATTTGTGGCACTAATTATTAATAGTGAAATTAATGTGTGTACCACCAGGATTATAATCTTTAATTAGCTGAAGCTTCTAATATGCTGGCAATTTCTGGTCCTAAACAAAACAACTAGTATATCATTGCAGCCAATCAGATTTTTCCACATTTCTTTCAGAGACTTTTCACTTTGTGTGATCTGAAACATCACAACTGTTTTCTTTCCTTCCCTAGATAATAAGGAAATATGAGGGTCCCCTCTGAAGTTAAATACATAACAGTGGCCACAAGAACAGACCAAAATTTCCACATAAGATATTAGGATGACAAAATTATGAGGTTAACTTCCTTTGGAGTAGATTTTTTTTTTGAAGAAGAAATAATTAGTACTTTGAGACCAGCATTTTTTTCCCATTGATTTCCAGACACAAGAACAAATGAGCTTTAAAAAAGTTTGTAAGACCTTTAGAAAAGAATTCAGGTAATGTTTTTGCAAGGTCTTATTTAAAACAACGTGTACCTTTCGCTCCTCTTTTATTGCCTGTTTTCTAGCTTTCCGATCCTCTTTGCTCTCGTCTTTGGAACGGGGCTGTGTTGATGCTCTTGGAAGGTCACTGCCATTGATCATTTGCATGCGTTCAATCTGCTTAGCGGTAAGACCTTTCTGAGGCAAGATATGTAGGGGAATTCCTGTCTTCTGGGAAATTTTTATTGGTTTGGGCTAAAACAGAGAGCGCATACATGTTAATGGTCACTAGCTTTCTTGCCAAGAAGTGCACATCGTACTGCCTTATCAGTATCAAAACATTAGATTCAAATCTAACAGTAAAACACGTAGGTTTCCTCATACTATTTTATTCCCTCAGAAAAATGCACATCAATCCCAAAGTAAGAAATGAAACACACCTGTGATCAGAACCTGGCCTCCCAGAACAAGAAAAGTTTCTCCCTTTTATTTAAATATTACTGAAAAAAAAAGAACTTAAGCAGGCACTTAATATTCCTTTCTAAGCTTTCAAGAAATAGGTTTCCTGTCAAAACCTGACACATCTGGAACATCAAGCTGTGCTCTAACGATGGGGAGTGTCTGGAAGGCCAAAGAACTAGAATAAATTGTTTCAAACTGTAGAAAGGAAATAGAAATCTATTTTGAAGAAAAAAACCCTAATATGTGGTTGTGAGACACAGTTTACACAAAGGTATATCACAGATAACAAGAAAGTAAATTCCTTGCTCTCTACACCTCTGCCTATTACAGAAATTTTGAACTTATTCAACTTTCTTTCTAATAGAAAAAAATATACCCAAGCCCTTCTTCAGTGAAGAAGTAATACCAGAGGCTAACACCTTCCCCAACCCTCTTTTCTACTCCCTCCTCCTTTTAAAAACAGATATCCATTGAGAAAACAATCACTTTTGTCTCAAGTTTTCCCAGGCCAGGTTGTTAGTCAGAGTAAGTTTAATGATTTTACCTTTGATGGCTCCTTAATAAGCGTTGGATGATTATATAAGTTTGAATATGTGCCTAGGTCACAAAGAAAGAAAAAAAAAACACAACGGTGAAAAGCTTGCAAGTAGAAATTAGGTAAATTTATTATGAATTGTACTACCACTTAGCCTTTGAAGATATAAAATCACAAGAATTAAGTTATCCACACAAAAGCTGTAGTTTTATCTTGCAAGAACTGCTGTTGTGCTCCAGAAGCATAAAACATTTTACCTAAAGCACTGCAAGTAAAGTTCTGAGATCACCTATCATTTACTTTGAAATCCTAGGAACAAACAAGCAAACTCCAAATTACTTACTCAAAATGGATTCACAATCCCACTTTTCTTTTGGTTCCTCAATAACTACAGCTACTATTTCTTCCTTTTCTTCCTCACTTTCTTCATTCGTGGGAGAGTCTAAATCTTCACAAGGTTCAAGAGCATCCAATTTTACACAACTTTGAAGTAGTTCAGAAAAAAAAAGAAATTTTTTTCTTGAAAATGTGTAATTCTGTAAACGCAGACTCCCCCCAGTAAACCCCAAACCAAAGCAAGCTATCCCCAATGAAACTTGCAACAAAAATAAGTTTCCTTAAGTAAGCATCCCCAAAATAAACTAAAACATTAGGACAAGAGAAATAGTAGAAAAAAAAGAAGTATTTCTGCATTTCAAAAGTATGTGGCACACAAGATTTTTGACTGGAGAGCAAGAAGAGAAGAAAATATACTTTTTAGTATGTAAGCAAGGCACCTCCAGAGACACTTATGTACTCTGCTACTGACCAGTCATCTTTCACGCCAAGGGAACATTACCGTATCTTTCAATCAGGAAACACAAAGACTAATGTGAGAACATTAAGCCATTTAACTTTGGGATAATATCACCTGCTTTAAGACAAAGTGAATATACAGTGGAAACGCAGTCTTACGTTGACACAGGATTGCTTTATAATCACTGATTTTTGCAGTGCTCCAAACAGTGGTACCCATGCAACAGTCACCTGCAAGTTTACTATCACATAACTAGGCATATAGTGGAATCAGCTGTATGCCAACAGGACAGAATATACTTGGCTACAGAGTTCGTTAAAAACAAAAGCAAAGGTATAAGGAGAAATGCACGCTACACCAAGAAGGGAAAGGAAGAAGGCTGCTAGATATTACTTACACTAAATTCAATACAATTACACAAAAGGAGCATAATCTCACATAAACCAACAAAATGCCTCCGCTTAATTTTATCATCTCCTAAGTGAAGATTGACATTGAGTGACATAAAAAATGGATAATACTCATACATAGCTGCTTTTATTGTGGGATGCAATGAACTGGAAACACCACCCCCAAACTTTCAATACAAACACAGGACTACATAACTACTTATGTGAAGCAGCACTTCTGGGAATACATACTTCTTCGCTTTCTCTTTGTAGTAATCATTCAGGACTTCCTGCAGCCGAGCATTGTCCGTGTTAATATAGCCTTCTAACTCCACATTATCCAAGGCTCCGATTTCATCTTCATCAAATTGTTCAAAAAACTAAAATAAAGAAGTGGACACCTGTAATTAGATTGCGCTTGTCGTGCAACTTTTTGAT